TAGCATCGACCCAGAGAAACCAGTGTGTGAAGAGAAGATCCCACTGCCAGAAGAAATGGCAGAAGAGGCAAGAGACTGGTGGTACTACGATGACATCAGTGGAAAAGAGCTTCTACCTGAGAAGGTAGAGAAAGCCAGAAAAGATGAAATCGACATTGTCGAATCAATGGGAGTTTGGGAAAAGATCCCAAGAAGCAAAGTTCCAAAAGGAACCAAAATCATTGGAACTCGATGGGTAGATGTGAACAAGCAAGATGAAACCAATCCTCTCTACAGAAGTCGATTGGTAGCGCAAGAGATCAAAAGAGGCTCAGGTTTTGACGAATTTTTCGCAGCTATGCCGAGCCTTGCAGCTTTGAAGCTACTGCTAACCATTGCAGTCAGCGACAGCCTTCCATTGGAGAAAGGCGAAAGAAGAAAAGCAAAGCAATCTTTCCTAGGATTTTTGGATGTGAAGAGAGCTCATTTCTACTCCAAAGCAACAAGAGAACTCTATGTTGAAATTCCATCAGAAGGCAAGAAACCAGAAGATGGAGATGTGGTAGGAAGATTGGTCAGAAGCCTTTACGGCGCCAGAGACGCACCCATGAATTGGGAGCTGACCATTGCAGAGTTTATGAAGAAGCTAGGATTTGTTCAAGGCAAGTCCAACCCATGCATCTACTACCATGCATCCAGAGAACTTCGAACAGAAGTGCATGGAGACGATTTCACGACAGTTGGAAGTTTTGATGACATCAAATGGTTTCACACTTCAGCAGCCAAAGAATGGCAAGTTGTGGAACGAGGCATTCTCGGTCCACCAGGTTCACCAAAGGCAAGCCAACAGATCAGAGTGCTGAATCGCATCATCACCTGGTCAAATGAAGGCATTTGGTGGGAACCAGATCCAAGACATGCAGAGTTGATCATCAAGTGGTTAGGCACTGGTCAACCAGGCAAGGTCAAAACACCTTTGGCCAAGCCAAGTCAAGAGGAACTCCAACATGAAGAAGTTCCGCTGAGTGCCGAAGATGCAACGATGTATAGATCTATTGCTATGAGAGCCGCGTATTTGGCACAGGATCGACCTGATCTGCAAACTGCAACGCGCTCATTGGCACAAGGTCTACAGAACCCAACATCGAGGCACTGGAATATGCTGAAACGATTGGCTCGATATGTCAGGTATCGACCAAGAGTTGCACAGTTGTTTCCAAACCAAAGCACCTGCAACCCCTTCAACATGTGGTCAGACGCCGACCATGCAGGTTGCATAAGGACACGAAAGAGTGTGTCAGGAGGCGTGCTCATGGCCAACAAATGCTGTCTTACAACATACAGCAAAGGCCAAGGAGTTGTCTCCCTGAGCAGTGGCGAATCCGAGTACTACGGACTTGTTTCTGGAGCATGTCAAACGCTTGGAATCGCATCAACAGCAAGAGACTGGGGATTGTTTCCCAGCAAAGAGGTGACAATGGACGCTTCCGCTGGCATCGCCATGGGAAACCGTCGAGGTTTGGGACGAGCTAAACATGTTGACACTCAATACCATTGGGTACAAGAGCGCACAGCAAAGAAAGAGTTTCGTCTCAAGAAAGAAGGCACCGACCGAATGTTGGCCGATGTGCTAACGAAAGCTGCCACCGAGGAGAAAATGACAACAGCCATGAAAGGCATGAACTTCCACTACCTGGAAGGTGAGCATGAACTGACTTTGAAAGCGTGAACGGCTTGAGCTAGAGTAGGTACTTCTTCAAGACCAAGATGTACTGAAGGGCTACGAGCTAATTCACCGAAGTGCTAATCCTGACTCGCTTAACTTCTGGGAGATGTTAAACTCGGGAGGCGTGATCAGATGTAGCACCAGTTACATGTACATGACATAGCTTGTATAGATGTATGTTTCACTGCAGCCGTTTGTTCAATCCGTTTGTTCGAGTTTGAGCTAAAAGTGTGCCTAAGCTTCTACTACAACCTTTGGGACAGTGACTTGGGGTCACAGAGTTTAAGAGCCTAAATTCTCCGTTCAGTTTGTGTGTGTATGTTTGTGGTTGTGTGTTTGCGAGTGTGTCTTTGTAGTTGTGTTTGTAGTTGTGTGTTTGTGATTGTGTTTGTAGTTGCGTGTTTGTGATTGTGTTTGTGATTGTGTGTTTGTGGTTGTGTGGTTGTGGTTGTGTGTTTGTGGTTTTGTGTTTGTGGTTATGTGTTTGTGATTGTGTCTTTGTAGTTGTGTTTGTGGTTGTGTGTTTGTGGTTGCGCGTTTGTGGTCGTGTGTTTGTGATTGTGTGTTTGTTGTGTGTTTGTGGATTTTATCTGGCAAACTATCTGGTTGAGGTCCAGCGGTGCACACTGCGATCGGATCCTTGCGGTTGAGGTCCAGCGGTGCACACCGCGATCGGACCCTTGCGGTTGAGGTCCAGGGGTGCACACTGCGATCGAAACCTTGCGGTTGAGGTCCAGCGGTGCACACTGCGATCGGATCCTTGCGGTTGAGGTCCAGGCGTGCACACTGCGATCGGATCCTTGCGGTTGAGGTCCAGGGATGCACACTGCGATCAGATCCTTGCGGTTGAGGTCCAGGGGTGCACACTGCGATCGGATCCTTGCGGTTGAGGTCCAGGGGTGCACACTGCGATCCGGAGCTGGCCAGACAAGATCGGCGAAGCAGATTGGCGATGAAGATTGGCGAGGAAGGAAGCAAGGAGGAAGGAGGAAGGAGGAGGACGAGGAGGCGGCGGAGGCGGAGGAAGAACAACTGTGATAAAATCTAACAACCCTCACCTGGCAGGTGGGGAACTAGTACCTTTACCTGGGGTGAAACCCATCCACCAACTGAATGGTTCGTGAACCACAAAGTCCCAGAGGTGCCATCAACTGCAGAACCAGGAGTTGCCAAGAAGCATCATGGGAACATCATCATAGGAAGACCCTTTCTGTTCATTCTTGGTGACGCAGTTCTTGGTGTAATCCAGGGGAAAACCCATGATGAATTTGCGCTCTTGGATGTTGGGCCGCCAACCTCTTACTCCACAACCCGGAGGTGTCCTTGTATTGAGTGTCCTTGTATTGATAGGGGGAAACCTATACTCGTCACAGACCCATCTTTCGAGTGCACTGAATTTCTTGGCCACTTGCGGAGGGAGTAGGTTTTCTGATGCAGCTGAAGTAGGATGGTTGCAGTATGGTAAGGTGAGTTTGACGGCGCATGTGGAGAGCAGTCGCTTTCTGGGAAAGGGTTGGTCACTGCGTGAGGGGTGCAACCTTCCTACCTTTACCACCTCACGTCCTCGAAGCAGTCCAGGTTGCCGAGCAGCTGGGTTGGACTAATGTGCTCCTCATGAACAACTGCGGTCGTGAACAAAGAGACATCCCTTCAGAATCAATGCAGTATGGGGTCATTTCTACAGCCTCACTCATAATTGCTCTATCCTCTCCACTCATTTAAGCTACATTCCCAACGAGTTGATGGACCTGTGCCCAAGGGACGGCCTCCTGAAGAGCTGGCAGATTCGGGGGAACGTGTACAAACAAAGAGTTTCCCTCATTTTTCACAGCTCCCTTCAGCCCACTGACCCCCTCGCAGGGGCCCCAAGACAACGCCCACATTGCTGAACTTCAGGGCCAGTTGCGTGACCTGTTCACGCCCCACCGCGTCTTCATAAAAGACAGTTTCAGGGAAAAAACTTTCAACGACACGGCGTCTGTCCTGCCATGGGAAGGCCCAAGGCATCACAGGCCGTCCTTAGGGCACCTATCCCGTTAAAAAGGCCCACCGTCAGAACTTGCGCCAAGTCATAGTCCTTGCACATCTCCCCGCTTCTTTGAACGCTGCACGACCGTTGTCGGTGAGGGAGGTTGAAGAGCAAATTCCCCCGCCTAAGGTTGAAGCATCGGAACATGTAACGACGCCATCGGCTGGCACACGGAAGTCAAGCTGCCCAGAGTGATGAACCGAGCCAGTTCAACCTTCACACTCCACGGAAAAGGCAAACGGACCACTGAGGCCTCACCTTCAAACCTCTGCGTGTGCACAAAAACCTCGTTCCAGCAGCGCAACAAGCCTCGCCTAAACATGCAGCCTTGTCTTGCTCGGGGTTCGCTGGGTTTGCCGTTTTCACTTTTTTAGGGTTCCTGAGGGTGGCTTAGCGCTTCACTTCTTTAGGGTTTCTTTGGGTTGGTTTGGACGGAGCGTTGTGGGGTGTTCAGGGCTGACTTCGTTCGGGTTCTTTTAGGCTTGGCTGAGGGCTTGGCTTCTTTAGGGTTTCTTTGGCCTTGTCTTCTTGGGCTTGGGCTTCACTACTTTCGGGTTTCTTGGTGCTTGTCTTGCTGGGGCTGAGGGCTTCACTTCTGTAGGATTTGTTTGGGCACGGTCTGTTTCTTTGGGAATCGTATGCAGGTCACAGGTTGACATGAGCCACTGCCAAACCACGGACAATGCCGAATTCAGTCAGAAGCGCTCGTGCCTCTGAGACTTGGACTCCCCCTTGCGATCCTCTCTCCTTTCCCATCCCGCCCATTTGCTACCTTTCATTCACCCCCTCCTATCTCAAGTTTATGACTGCTGTCAGTGCGGGGGTACGGTTGGGAAAAACGGACTGTGAAGCAACTGTTGTGGGGTCATGATTGCGTTCCCACCTTCAAGTTTGAGCCCGCACCTTGAAGTTAGCAGTGCAGCTTTGCCCCTTATAGGCAGAGTCCACATGTAACTTTTCTTCACTCAAACCAAACAGTGGATCTCGCCATGTTTCTTCGTGCTTGGACGAGTGGTTTGGTTTGATTTGGACTGTATTGGTAAAAGCACCGCTGCACCCTAAATCCTAAATGACCTGCACGTGCTATTGCAACCGAGCACTGCCATTCAGCCACACCAGTTTGGCCAGACAATCATTACACACTTTGATGGTGTTGTTATGCAATGGCACAACAAGATGTGGTTGCTTCACGATGGGACCATACCATTCGGTGAACAAACCATTTTGTGGTACTTGATTGGAAGGGAAGGTGTGGTTTGTGGACGCTGGCTCAAGACCAGCCTTGGTGGAACAAACTTGCACCTCGAGAAGAGCTTGGCACTGAGTTGTTTGAGGCTCTGTTCCTGTAATGCTGCAAATAGCAGGATGGCTTGGTGAGTGCCCCGACTGAGGCGATGCGAGACATTCAAGAGCTTGCAGGGACCACAGTTGTGTCGCATAATGTGACATATGATAGACAATGCCACCAACTTGGCGCTACAGTAGCAAGGTTGCCCAAGAACTTGAAGATGAGGAGGATTGGCCTCGTTGGTTTGGCGATGTTTCGGGCATAACGAAAATGCCAACAGCGCCAAGAAATAGTTTGTGTGGAAACAGTGCCAAGATAGCTGGCGCAATATTTTCGATGCATTTACACATTTAGGCACATTTTGTTACGATACTCTTTTACAGCAACACAAAAAAAACATACTCACAGAGTGGATCCAATTTGTCAGTCCTTTAATGACAATTTCCAATGCAGGAATTATTTCAAGGCCGTTAAAACTTGACATGGCTTCCAACCCAACAGCAATGGCCTCCACCCGAGCGGGTTTGTTTTGTTTGCAATCCTTTGGAGGACGTTCTCGATTGCGTCTCTGATGGTGATGGTGAGCCACTGGATTCTTTGGAGGAGTATGTTTCGGAAGCGCTCGGACGGTTCATGCTAGGAACAAGAAGCTACTAGGGGCTCCTGGCATCGCTACTAGGAGCAAGGGCGCTACTAGGGGCTCCTGCCATCGCTACTAAAGGTGACGATTTTTGACACCGAAGTTGTCAAGCCTTGAAACCTCCAGTCTGTTCATTCAGCTTTGGTTCACCGGGGTGCTCAACGAATAGTTCGATCTGGAATGTTGCTGCTGTCAGCAGACTTTGCTTAGTACTAGCTGGTTGTTTCTTGCATTGGATCACAGCTAGTCCCAGTTTACAAATTGGGTTTGTACAATTTGCCAGATGCACTCAGAGTCTTTGAAGAAAGGTAGGAGAAATGCAGTCGAGACATTCATCGCTTGGAGTCTGACATGTGCAGGAGCCATTGAGACTGGACGAAAGCTTTCCTTGCACAATTTTCATCGCAGGAGTTCCCAAGGCCCCACTTCTGAGGGCCATGTCTAAGCTCTGTCTACGCTTGATTGCCTATCCTTGAAGATGAAGATCTGCTATATACCAGTTGAATTGATTCGTTGTTGAACTGGATTTCTTCTTCATATCGGATTCCTTGGTCCCAGGTTTCCAAGGAGAAGTACGACAAGCTTTTTGGTGTCCTTTCCAAGCTCATCAACAAGTGAACCAAGTTACGTGGTTTGCTTGAATGAATGAGCTCCAATACACATTTGCTGGTTCACCTTTCCTCGCAAGAGGGCTTAACCTTTTTCCATTAGTTGCATAATTAGTTTTTCAATTGTGTCATTGTGTGACTGGGCAAATGCGCAACGCTTTCGTTCTCATGGTTTCGGAGAGGTACGGTGAGAATGAAAGGGACATGCCTTGGAACTCTGAAGGCACAGAAACAGAGGCATGCGCAGCTTTGTTTCTTACTATTTTTGCCAGGCCTTTGTATGCTGTTTATGTAGTTTTCTACAGTTTTTGTATGTAACAAAATGAAGCAACTTATGCTCCTTATTGTTTGTGCCTCACAGCAGTCAGGGCTGCGTCATAGCGACATTCACCAAGCCTGAGGATGCGGCACAGGTGTGGACCCAAAGGGAATCTGGTTCCGAAGGCGTTCTAGGAGGCCACCGCTAGTAGGTTGGAGGCCATCGCTCTTTCCTAGTAGGTTGGGGCTAACGACGAGTGCTATGAGTGATGCGAGTACTAGTAGTACTAGGAGTATACTAGTTCAGGGCTCGGCCCGTACGGGGGACTGGCTCGACTGAAACTCCAAGCGTTCTGGGCACAACGTGCGTGCGGTGTGCCGTGTTGGGCCTCATGGGTTAGTGTGGGTCGTAGTCCAAGAGGACTGAAGGCCTTTCGAGAAGGATGGAGAAGAGGAGGACAAAGGTTGAAGTAGCTAATGTTTTTCTTAGCACTAGTAACTAGCGCTAATAACAATCAGCTTGAAGATGAAGTAAGAGGTAGGAAGCTATAAGGAAGCACAAGATGCAAATGAAGAAGATTGCAGTTAGGTTGGCTGCCATCGCTAGTAGGTTGGAGGCCATCTCAAATAGAAACAAAGAAGCAAGAAAATTAGATAAGATCTAATGAAAGGCTTGGATTCTTCGAAGTAAACTCAAGCTTCGAAAAACTCATATCATGTCGAAGGAAAACTAATCGGACTCTTGACTTTTCTTTTTGTGTTTTTCTGGATATATAGCCTTAAATATTCAAGACAGACGAGGACGCTACTAGGGGCTCCTGGCATCGCTACTAGGAGCAAGGGCCTTACTACTAGTAACAAGAAGCTAGTAGAAACAAGAATTAGTACATGCACGAAGATGTGAAGAATGCTCCTAGTAGTGAACATTGCTCCTAATAGCGATGGCAGGAGCCCCTAGTAGCGAACATTGCTCCTAGTAGTAAGGCCAGGAG